TTAGATTTTTTTCAGGAATTTTTTTTCAAAGAAAATAAAATACAATTCTATCGCTCTTTTTATACATTATAATTGGTATCTTAAAGTAATCAAACAAAATTTTTTTTGGTAAATTTTAAAGTAAATATGTAAATAATTTTTTATCTGGGTCAAAGTTGACTCCTTGAAAAATGCGATATTTCTAAGATATTGTACTTTCAAAAAAAAATAGATTTTTTGAAATCGTCACATAAGAATAGTGCCTTAAATAAGTAATTCAAACAATTTCTTTTCTTTTTTTTCAACTAATCGTTTAGAATAATTTATTATTATTTTTTATGTAACAGTAAAAAAAGAAAATGAAAATAAGAGTGAAAATTGGATTCCTCAAAAAAAATTTTTTAAATTCTTTTCTGGATTTAGTGAAAATTAGAATTGTTCCGAAAAAAGTCATAAATATTCAAACAGTGTCTCTTCTCTGAATATAAATTAAAAAAAAAAAATTAGCATATTAAACGTGTGTGTGTGTGTGCGGTAGATTATAATTTTATGTTACGCGAATAAGGCCTGGATATGAATTAGTTAAAAAAAAATAATAAAAACAAAATTTTTATTATCCTGATATAATTTAAATATTTAGAACAATAATTTGTCGATTACAGATAATTGTAATAAGTTTTCAAATAAAAATTCTAAAATTAATTTTTATAATTAAACTAGCAAAATTAAACGCGCGCAAGCCCGCCAAATTGAGTATTTAATTGTTTGTTATAAAGAAATTAAAGATTAATATTATCAATAATAATTTAATTTATTAGAATATTATTACATATTAAATGATAATAATGAAAATTATATGATTACAGGCCTCCGATTATATGACTTTTTCCGACTTTTTTCAAAAATACGACTTTTATCGATTTATTTTAATAAAATGCGACATTTTTTTTTACATTTGAAAAAAAATGTAAATAAAATACATTTTTTTAGTATAAAATGTAGATCTTCTTCAGATCTTCTTCAATTCAATTATTTAACAAATTTTGAACTAAAATGATTCTTCACTAAATTAATTATTTTTAATAATTTTAATGAAATACATCACAAATTCAATTCTATCAAAATTATTTTTCAATTAAAATTTTTATGAAATTTAACAATTGTTTATAATTTTAAAAAAAATAACAATAAAATTGAATTATTTTTTTAAATTTCAATTCAAAATAAACTAAAATTCAATTATTACCCGAAATTTTAATTCAAAATCAATTAAAAATCCAATAATTATCAAAAATTTTCAATTTAAAATTTAATTATTTACCAAGTTTTCAATTTAAAATGAAATAAAATTCAATTATTTTCTAAAATTTCTATTCAAAATTAATTATCCAAATTTTCTATCAAAAATGAATTTAAATTAAATTATTATCCAAAATTTCAATTCAAATTCAATTATTTCCCAAAAATTTTCAATTTAAAATCAAATAAAATTTCATTATTCTCAAAAATTTGAATTCAAAATTAATTGAATTTTCCATAATTTGAATTTAAAAGCATCTAAAATTTAATTATTTCTAAAATTTTCCATCTAAATTTTTTTTTTTGAAATTTAACTAAAATTCTTCACTAAATTAATTATTTTTAATAATTTTAATGAAATTCATCATAAATTCAATTATTTCAAATTATTTTTCAATAAAAATTTTTATAAAATTTAACAATTATTTATAATTTAAAAAAAATATCAAATAAAATTACCAAAAATTTTTAATTCAAAATCATAAATCAATTCAAAATCAAATAAAATTGAATTATTTTCAAAAAATTCAATTAAAAAACAGCTAAAATTCAATTATTAACCAAAATTTAAATTCAAAATTTATTATTATCAAAATTGTCAATGAAAAATCAACTAAAATTAAATTATTATCAAAACATTTCAATTGAAATTCAATTATTTTCCAAAATTTCAATTCAAAATCTTTTAAAATTCAATTATTTTCCAGATTTTCAATTTAAAATCAAATAAAATTCAATTATTACCCAAAATTTCAATTAAAATTCAATTATTTCCCAAAATTTCAATTCAAAATTAAAGATAATTCAATTATTTTAAAAATTTTCAATTAAAAATCAACTAAAATTCAATTATTCTCAAAAATTTCAAATCAAAATTATTTATTATTAAAATGTTCAATCAAAAATCAACTAAAATTCAATTATTACCCAAAATTTCAATTAAAATTCAATTATTTCCCAAAATTTCAATTCAAAATTAAAGATAATTCAATTATTTTAAAAATTTTCAATTAAAAATCAACTAAAATTCAATTATTCTCAAAAATTTCAAATCAAAATTATTTATTATTAAAATGTTCAATCAAAAATCAACTAAAATTTAATTATTATCAAAAATTTCAATTATAATTCAATTATTTTCAAAAATTTGAATTTAAAAGCTTCTAAAATTTAATTATTTCTAAAATTTTCCATCTAAATTTTTTTTTTTGAAATTTAACTAAAATTCTTCACTAAATTAATTATTTTTAATAATTTTAATGAAATTCATCATAAATTCAATTATTTCAAATTATTTTTCAATAAAAATTTTTATAAAATTTAACAATTATTTATAATTTAAAAAAAATATCAAATAAAATTACCAAAAATTTTTAATTCAAAATCATAAATCAATTCAAAATCAAATAAAATTGAATTATTTTCAAAAAATTCAATTAAAAAACAGCTAAAATTCAATTATTAACCAAAATTTAAATTCAAAATTTATTATTATCAAAATTGTCAATGAAAAATCAACTAAAATTAAATTATTATCAAAACATTTCAATTGAAATTCAATTATTTTCCAAAATTTCAATTCAAAATCTTTTAAAATTCAATTATTTTCCAGATTTTCAATTTAAAATCAAATAAAATTCAATTATTACCCAAAATTTCAATTAAAATTCAATTATTTCCCAAAATTTCAATTCAAAATTAAAGATAATTCAATTATTTTAAAAATTTTCAATTAAAAATCAACTAAAATTCAATTATTCTCAAAAATTTCAAATCAAAATTATTTATTATTAAAATGTTCAATCAAAAATCAACTAAAATTTAATTATTATCAAAAATTTCAATTATAATTCAATTATTTTCAAAAATTTGAATTTAAAAGCTTCTAAAATTTAATTATTTCTAAAATTTTTTGAAATTTAACTATTTCAATTTTAAACTATTTTTATAATATTCTTTGAAAATTCAACTATCTGAAACCATTTTTCAATTAAAAATGATTTTCAAATTATTGTATTTTGTCCGCATTTTCTAATAAATTTTTAGTGAAATCATCTAAAATTTTAATTACAAAACACTTAAAGTTTCAATTAATTTCAAAAATCTCAATTTTAAATCTTTGAAAATTCAATTAAATTTAAAAAATGTTTTCCAAAAATTGTTTGATAAATTATTTTTAGTTCTGTAAAATTTAATAATTGTTTAAAAATTAACAATATCTTTTGAAATTTAATTATTTCTAAAAATTTCAACTTTAACCCTTCGAAAAGGATTATTATTAAAAAAAAAATTTTGATTTAAAAATTTGTAAAATATTTTTGTTAAAATAAAAAACAAATCCACTTTTTTTGGAATATAAATCGACTAAAACGACTTTTTTGTGTCTTTAAGTTGATTCGAGGCCTGTGTTTTTATAATTAATATTTAATAGGTATTCGTTGGCCCCTGGTACTTTAAAAATTAATTTTTAAAAATAAATTTTTTTCAAATTACTATCTTGTACGAAATTTCCTGGCGCATCTTTTTTCTCATCATAAATTTTTTGTTTTTGTATACAATTTTTGAATGAATATACAACTTTAAAAAAAATTTCGTTGGTAACCGTTGTGTACTTCAGCTTCGTGAATTGAATTTTCGAATTTGGAATTTTAAAGAAACTTATTCCGAAATTTGGAAACACAATTATACATTTTTGGCAAAAATGAGAAAAAGAATTGTCAAAATTTGACACGCCAACTTCAAGTTAGGACAGAAGGACAGACCAAGCATTTTATTATTATATAATTTTTATCCGTAAAATTATTGATATTGCTATTGTTTTGTCCTAATTTTTTTTACTGGAGAAATTGTAAAAAAATTATTTTTCTCTACAATAATAAAAATTAAGTTTTTTATTAAAAAAAATAGTATCGGAAATTGGCGTGAATTTTTGTATTATATAAAAGTGGCAATTTAGCAAAAAAAAAAAAAACTTGAAAAATACACTTTGTATTCATTAAAATCCAATAAGGTAAAAATTGGTTGTCAACAGCGTGTTTGAAAAAAAAAATGTTTTTATATATATATATATATATGTATGTAGGCAACATGAGCGTATAATCGATTGTTTAATTATACGAATTCGTTAAGTCTCAACTCTCAATCAATATGAGTTTTAATCAACTAACGATGTTGGGGCCATTTCCAATAATACGCACTCTCGACGTTCACAATTTTTCAAATAATTAGTGTGAGTTTAATATTCCAAATGCGGCATATTACAAAATAAAATTTCATCATCGATGCTCTTTACAATATTAGACACTTAAAAATTTGTATTTTATCGCTTTCAATTTTTTTTAGATTTCACTTGTATTTTTTAATTATCGATAAAGAAAAAATTAAAAATCACAGTAATAGGGATATTTTTAAAACACATTTTTTTTTGAATTAGACACACTTGAATTTTTATTTATTTTCAATAAATTTTTGTTTATTGAAAAAATTTATTTAATTTAAAACAATTTATTTATTTTCAATAAATAAATTTTCAAAAAAATAATTTTTAATTTATTTGTAAAAAATTTATTTGATTGAAAACTATAAATTTTCAAAAAAAATAAATATAAATTTATTTGTAAAAAATTTATATTTAATTATAAAAAAAAAATTAATTTTAAAAAAATTTGTTTATATTAAATTCTATTTATTTATTTTGAAAAAATTTTATTTCACGAGATTACGAGATGCAGAGCATTAAACTTGACTACTGCCACAACATCACTAAAGGGACTGTAGAGTTTTGTCGTGTGTCTTGTGTGGCACGTTAACCGGAAGATACGCTTGATGCTTACCTTTACGTAATTTTGTACTTTTCTTCTTTTTTTTTTATAGCACTTTAAAGACTCTATTCTAAAATTGTCCGATTAGTGTCGCAAAACTAGTATTTTAAATGGCAATTATTCAATTCACCAGATATTATTTTTCAATCAAATTTTTTTTTATTCATTACAATTATTCGCAAAATTGTGATTTGTAATCAAAAATTCAATTATTTTTTTTTTTTTAATTCAAAGCAAAATTGTATTTTAAATTATAACCGAAATTCAGAGGAGAAGGTAAATTTTTTTTTTGTTACTAATTTTTAACAATGAAATAAATTATTATTTGCATTACTTCCGGTTTTTATTATAGTTTAGAGTTGGAAAATCGCATATTATTTTAAATGGGCAATTTGCGAATCAATTTCGCATGTACATACCGTTGTAAAATTCTAACGTGATTATAACGGTCGTTGGAAAACCGCTGTTTACTTTACTTTTTATTCGCGTATGTTTTTTTTATTAGAAATTCTCAATAGCAGGTATTTTTATATTAATTTTATTGTTTATATGCGTGGAAGCAAAAAAGAATTTTTAAATAGATTTTATATTCCATTTTCGAGGGGGAAAAAAAAGTTGAATTGTCTTTATAATTTTCTTTCTTTATAATTTATATGAGTTTTTTGTTGTTTGATTGTCTATAGGTTTTTTTTTTTTTTTTTTTTTTTTGGGAAAAAAATGTGAGATATTATTTTGCCGCTGGCAAAGATCTGACTACCAATTTTCTCCACTTACTCTTCTACAACTGTTGGCTGTCACCAAACAGACTCAAGAAGTTTAATTAAACTTTATTTACTACTCTGTTTTGCACCAAAATTTTCTTTCTTTCTCTCTCTTTCTTTTGGAATGGTTGTCGCTTTTTTTCCGCCCCGACAATTCACTGCAGATATTTTTATTTTTATTCTTTTTATGCAGTTGGAGTTCAATAGAACAAATTCGAAAATTCCTAAACATTTTTGGAAACTAAATTAGAGGAATCTCTTCAATAATTATTTAGTTTTTTAGCTTTTTCAAATTTCAAATTCAAAATGTCGGACAAATTTTTGAAATTATTAGATTCGCCTGAAATTTATTACTCGGAGGTTTTCGGGGTCGCTGATTACGAATCTGAAGGCAGATTTTTAAAATTTTCATAATTCAAAATGGCGGATAAAATTTAAAAAATTGACCCAATTCGTTTCAAATTCGCTTCTCGAGGGTTTTTGGGGTTACTAATTACGAATCTGAAGTCAGATTTTTGAAATTTCTAAAAATTCAAAGATGGATCCAATATGGTGGACGAATTTAAAAAAAAGAAAAAAAAAACCCAAAAACCCTCGAGAAGCGAGTTTGAAACGAATTGGGTCAATTTTTTAAATTTTATCCGCCATGTTGAATCCGCCATTTTGAATTATGAAAATTTTTAAAATCTGCTGTCAGATTCGAAATCAGCGACCCCGAAAACCTCCGAGTAACAAATTTCAGGCGAATCTAACAATTTCAAAATTTTATCCGCCATATTGGATCCGCCATTTTGAATTTTTGAAAACTAACACCGGATTCGTAATCAGCGACTCCAAAAACCCCCAATTAACGAGTTTCAGGCGAATTGCATTAGATTTTCCAAAAGTCGTCCGCCATATTGGATCCGCCATTTTGAATTTTGAAAAACTAACACCGGATCCGTAATCAGCGACCCCAAAAACCCTCGAGTAACAAGTTTCAAGCGAATTGCATTAGATTTTCCAAAAGACATCCGCCATTTTGAATCCGCCATTTTGAATTTTTTAAAACTAACACCGGATTCGTAATCAGCGACCCCAAAAACCTCCCGTGTAGCCATTTTCGAGCGGATTTAATCACTTTTAAAGAAATTGTCCGCCATGTTGTATCCGCCATTTTGAATTAGAAAAATTTGAAAAATCTGACCTCAAATTCGTCATCAGCGACCCGAAAAATTGTAAGAACAATTGCACTTTTCTTTTTTGAAGTTCTCAGATTAGCTTGGGAACGAAAGGGTACAATTGATTGTTTATCGTTTCGAAAAATTTGATGCTAAAAGAAAATAATAATAAATAAAAGAATTATATTTTTCAGATTTTAATTATATAAACAATTAATCTGACGATACAGATTTTATTATTTAAATAAACAATTTTGGTAACTAAATTTAGAATCATAAATAAACAAATTAATAAATTAGTTAATTAACTTCAACTTTGAATCTAAAATAATTAAAATAAATTGTAATAAATATTCAAGAATTTAGTTTTATCTAACCAAAATTAAGAATATATCCTAATCCTATTTAAAATTTTCTATTCTAAATTAAACTGAAATAATCAATCGCAATTTAACAATAAATTATTAAATTATGACATTTTTATTATTAATAGATCTGTGAAAACCCTATTAGATAATAAATTAAAATAAATTAATTATATCCTGAATTAACTAAATTTTCGGCTTTATTGGGATCATCTCTTTTGTTTAATCTTTCAAATTTTCATGTGGATTGCCTATTGCAATGCAATTAATCGTTTTGGTAGAAATCGTTAGAAAGCTCCTGGCAATTAATTTTCCCTGGCTTGACTTTAAAGATATGTTTTGTGATGTATTTTTCTTTCTTAAATAATCTTTAATCTTTAAATATTCGTATCAAATAATTATTGAGTCAATTAAATGAAAATTTAAAAAATATTAACAAAATTTTAATTAACCACTTGAGCGTCATGGCGTTCCAACTGGCGTCGTGCGTGGCAGTGACAGAAGCGTCAAAAATTCATAAATGGCGTTCCTACTTGAATTCAATTTGTAAAGTCTGTAGACATAATTAACTAACTATAACTTACTTTTTATATTTTTTGAGATTAAGCAAGACGTATGTAACACAAAAAAATTATTTTTTTAAACATTCGGACAGTTTTTTCGAAATTTAAAGTCGACAATTTTTGGTACTTTTTTGCGAATGGCGTTCTAACATTTACTCAATAAAATTATATTTCTGCTTCCAAAAACTGTGCAAACCACCCAAATCTTGTTACTCGGTGATTTTCGGGATCGCTGAACACGAATTTGATGCCAAATTGACAATTTGACAATTGACAGCTGTCAACTCAGTTGTCAACTTCTATAAAAAACAATTATTTTTTATGAAAATAACTGTATAAGGGTTTTCGGGGTCGCTGATTACGAATATGAGATCAAATTGACAATTTGACAGTTGACAGCTGTCAATTCAACTGTCAACTTCTATAAAAGACAATAATTTTTTATGAAAATAACTGTATAAAGGTTTTTGGGGTCGCTGATTACGAATATGAGATAAAATTGACAATTTGACAGTTGACAGCTGTCAATTCAACTGTCAACTTCTATAAAAAACAATTATTTTTTATGAAAATGACTGTATAAAGGTATTCCGGGTCGCTTATTAGGAATATGAGATCAAATTGACAATTTGACAGTTGACAGCTGTCAATTCAACTGTCAACTTCTATAAAGACAATAATTTTTTATGAAAATAACTGTATAAAGGTTTTTGGGGTCGCTGATTACGAATATGAGATCAAATTGACAATTTGACAGTTGACAGCTGTCAACTCAGTTGTCAACTTCTATAAAAGACAATTATTTTTTATGAAAATAACTGTATAAAGGTTTTTGGGGTCGCTGATTACGAATATGAGATAAAATTGACAGTTGACAGCTGTCAATTCAACTGTCCACTTCTATAAAAAACAATTATTTTTTATGAAAATGACTGTATAAAGGTTTTCGGGGTCGCTTATTAGGAATATGAGATCAAATTGACAATTCAACAGCTGTCAAATCAACTGTCAAATTTATAAAAAGTGATTAATTTTAATGAAAATAATAGTATAAGGGTTTTCGAGGTCGCTGAATACGAATATGTGGTCAACTGTCAAATTGTCAATTTGATCTCATATTCGTAATCAGCGACCCCGAAAACCTTTATACAGTTATTTTCATAAAAAATTATTGTCTTTTATAGAAGTTGACAGTTGAATTGACAGCTGTCAACTGTCAAATTGTCAATTTTATCTCATATTCGTAATCAGCGACCCCAAAAACCTTTATACAGTTATTTTCATAAAAAATAATTGTTTTTTATAGAAGTTGACAGTTGAATTGACAGCTGTCAACTGTCAAATTGTCAATTTTATCTCATATTCGTAATCAGCGACCCCAAAAACCTTTATACAGTTATTTTCATAAAAAAATTATTGTCTTTTATAGAAGTTGACAGTTGAATTGACAGCTGTCAACTGTCAAATTGTCAATTTGATCTCATATTCGTAATCAGCGACCCCGAAAACCCTTATACAGTTATTTTCATAAAAAATAATTGTTTTTTATAGAAGTTGACAACTGAGTTGACAGCTGTCAACTGTCAAATTGTCAATTTGGCATCAAATTCGTGTTCAGCGATCCCAAAAATTCCCGAGTAACAAGATTTGGGTGGTTTGCACAGTTTTTGGAAGCAGAAATATAATTTTATTGAGTAAATGTTAGAACGCCATTCGCAAAAAAGTACCAAAAATTGTCGACTTTAAATTTCGAAAAAACTGTTTGAATGTTTAAAAAAATAATTTTTTTGTGTCACATACGTCTTGCTTAATCTCAAAAAATATAAAAAGTAAGTTATAGTTAGTTAATTATGTCTACAGACTTTACAAATTGAATTCAAGTAGGAACGCCATTTATGCATTTTTGACGCTTCTGTCACTGCCACGCACGACGCCAGTTGGAACGCCATGACGCTCAAGTGGTTAAAAGATTTTTTTTACTTTTTTTCAGTCTTATTTGTCATTTTAGTTTTTTTGTTAAAAATTCCCTTTGATTGAAAATAATATTGAGAATCGTGTTATTTTGAAAATATCTTAATGGCAATGCAACTTC